AGGTACAGATTCTGCGGTCATTGCAGCATTTAACTGGGATTTTGTTTTGCTTTACGATTACGAACTATTTTAAGCTGAAATTTATTCTAACTCTGAACGTATCAGACATAGAGATCATAAATATAGTCAAACATGAAAATAAGATACCGACAGATTTACTAAGGCGTGAATATTATAATATGAAAAATAAATAAATGTTTCTTATAAATATTTCAACGGTCCATCGTGAGTGAGACGAAATCGGAACGGTTTTGTAATGCCAAGAATAATAAAATAGAAAGGAAAAAAAAACTTAAGAAATAGTGAAGAATGCTTAGAAAAATTGTTTTTATAAAAAGGACTCCACCTCACAGCCAGAATGGTAAAATATCCTTTATAGTTAATACCAAAAAATTAACTTTTTAAACACGTTCTGTTCCGTTGTATAAAAAAAATTGTTTTCTAGCATAAAAAATAAGAATACAAATCGGCTCAAATATTATCAAATAATTTCGAGATAAACTTCGTCTATACTTTTAATGAATTTATGCTTTAATTGCATACCCTATAATTGATTAAAGAAAAATCTGTGCTCATAATTATACTAAACCTTTACTCATATACTCGTATATAATACAAAATTCTAGCTAAGATTACGCGTATATTTAAAATTATTAAAAAACAAATCTATTAAGTCAGAAATAAATTGAATGTTTTAAATAATCGTACAAAAGCATAAAGTTTTTCAAAGTCATTACGACAATTACTGACAGAAGCGAATAAATTGTCTAGACCAACATCCTATTCGGTCCGTGGCTTAAATATCAATGGCACCGAAATTTAGCGTAACATGCTAAATAGTCTAATAGCCACCTCGTTTCTGATGTTTTATTGCCTACTTAATATACTAGAGTCCATAGATGACTGGATGATTTCGACCTAAGTCCATTAAAGATGCGTTGTACGTCCATTCACACAACCCGACATCTTTTTATTAGTTTTCGTAGTCGACTTTTTAATATCTTGACGCCTTTGTTACAAAAATAACATCACATCTCGCGACAGATATAATGATCTCTATTATAATAAACAAAAGGGCGTTATTGGTTTGTCTTTTAGTTAAGAAAACGTAACTAGCCCTAGATTTGGTTGTGATTCTCAACACGGTCGAAGGAAGCATATAAACTGTCAGCTACGAATTCAAAATTAAACAATAGAAATAGAAGGGAAATTTATTGATTAAGGTTACACCTGATCCCTATTCAGAGTGATTTATTGGGGGGTCATTTTATAACATTTTTATCACCATTTTTTTTCTTAACGTATTAATAATAAAAAAAATTATGGCATCACTTTATAGCTTTATAATAAGGATATGAATAAATGCATACGTTAATAGGCAGATAGCTAATAAAATACCTTTAGTAGAAGTTAACGCGACGAATATTTTATTTGACGATATTAATCTCGTTAATTAAGTTGAGAGCAACGTTTTTAGAGATACCTAAAAACATAGTTGGTAAGAATATGTTTGTATATTTAACAGTAAACAATTAATTATGCGTAAAAATAACTGGAATTCTAAGATAGTAGTCCGGAACGAGGACCGGTGAATGGTACTAGCTTGACAAATCGTTCAAATACTTATAAAGGCTGTGCAACAGTGGTTGATATGCCAAGCTATATTCTCTACGACAAAAGAGAAAATATATAATGAGTTCACATTAACATCAAATTAGACTCAAGAAGCTGAAAATGCATATAATCCTTTCTTTTTCCTTGTCTTCAATCAGGATTAAATTTTATGTTTTCAAAGTTTTACAGATTACGAAAACAGCAAGTGAGTAACTAAAATATAAGAATTTGAATCAAGTATGAAAAGGTTTAATTATATATTTATATTATATCTCTTGATACAACACAGTCTGATATTGTCCGGACGCGCACGTATGCGCTTCTTTTAGCCCTGCGATGGTGCGAGCGTTGGAACTCATTGTAATTTATGGTTGTCCACACTCCGTACTGCGAATGCTAAGTCCACGATGAAAGGATTAGCCGCTGTACCATGATTTATTCAAACAATCCAGGTTATTGCCTATTTGTGTGTCAACCAGCTGTTTACTTATGGTACCCTGGTACCTTTATAAATATACAATTGTTTGTCGTGTAGACTAATGTTAGAAAAATAATTGCATTGTTAAGCTTTCAGCTATCAGAAATATGATCAATTCTATTGTTATTTGGCATGTAACAATAATTTATAGTTTTCTAACTACATTACATTTTTAACATCCAATGCAACGTTTAGTCGCTTATAAATTCCTACCCACGCCTGAATAATACGTATAAAACTCAAGCTATCTAATAAATAAAGTAGACAATTGTCTATTATAATAAGATAATTCACGTTCAAAACACACATAGCGTTGCCATATCAAATGATGAGGTATAAGTAGCACTATTGTGTGTGACTTATATGTAGTGTTGGCGTATGGATGCGTGACTTAGACGTCTAATTGCTGTTTATGTCAATATTGGGTTATGAACGCATAATTGGTTGTGATTTGATTCTGAATAGTAATCGTCTTGTTGCAAAATGTCCTCGTGTATTAAATGAATTAAATGATTACTTATATTACTAATAGGTATAATTTATATGACGAATACGTGATTTTTAAGGACTATACTTAAAATAATGTAAGTTAAAAACAGGGCTACTTTTAAAAGTTTAGTTTTATAATTAATGTCTCGAATATATGAAACATATGATTTGATTTTTTGTACTAATTTTTATATGCCATGATGGCAAGTACACGTGATCTAATTAATATCTATTATATATCACATGCTTATAAGCAAATAATTTGTTAATTAGCTGTTTTGAAAGAAAAATATTAGATATATTCAAAAATGTTACCGTCTAATCATTAGATTATTAAGTCTACATAAAGTAGTACATAGGAATAGAAAACATTGCCTATTAAAAATAATTCATGAAAATAAATACTACTTACTTTAATAATTATTATAATTACAGTAATCAATTATTAAGTTTATCGACCTATAAATTAAATAAAGGAAAAGTATGGTGAAATCTAGAAAAACCAATGAAGTTCCTACCATAAGTCTGTATGGATTCTGAGAACATCGGAGCGATACGACGGCTAAAAACAATTAAAGCGTAATTAAGGACCGTACAGTAAGTATTACAGCACTCACTTTTCAGAGTAAGGATGGGAAATATTATATCGATAAAAATTACCGACCGATCGAGTTTCACTTTCACAAGTATCTACCATACTGCTACAATGTTGAATGATGTAAAATATTCACTACACTGTCAAATCATTTGTACGTTCAAATGAGGTATTAAAATATCTTAGCCATTAAGAACTGCGATACATATATTTTGGCACAGCTATAGAAGGTACAATTCCATTACTCAATGACCAATAAAACTCGATACGCGACCGTGTCAATTTCGAATACAAAAGCATCGTAAATCTTTACAATAAAAATAATCGATATCGATGTTTTTAAAGGTCAAACTGTACTGTAGCTTATATTATATTAGTCGTTTATACAGCGAGTGGTTTTAAACAATCACATCTTCATTAATTACGTATGGAATTCAACTGTGATAACTCTTCTCCAAATGGCACTGTAAGTTAAAAAAGAATCGCGTTTAAAAAGCTGGCGAATTTAAATGTTCACCATTTAAATGCCGGCTACTTGGTAATCTGATATGAATTCATAAAACAGCCAAATACGGGTTTCAAAGAAAGCTGTCTGTTTCGGTATGCAACATATTTCGTTACATTACATATGAATCTAAACTGAATAGTTCAAACATTTTCTTTCATACATTAGCAGCCAGTGTATTTCTATATTGTTTTTTATGTTCACTTTGTGGAATTTAAATATGAATTCTGAACGAATATCAGGAATATACTCTTTTCGGATGTGGCAATAACATTTCTGAGTCTCTCAATTAACTGCCGTACTTTTTGCGCATAAACTTGTTAAGATTTACCAGTAATTAACACTCATTCCGATGTAAATTATTCTGTTTTGAGCAAACGTTTTTTTAATGTTGTATTTAAAACGAAAATGTTGTTCATTAGGTAGTCTCCAATTATTATAAAATTAATGTTTTTTCGACGTCCAAATAAGAATTTTGTCGAGGTTATAACTCCATGACAACTTTTGATTCAATGGTTTTACTTTAAAATTGAACCTTGGATACTTGTGAATAAGGTTGAAATTCTTTTCATAAAATTAAATGTAACAAAAGTAGTGAGAATTGATTGTATGTCATCAAGTAATGACTATTAGTCAGACATAAATTGATACGTTCGTATTTAGCGTTGGTAACACAATGTAAACAATTTTTGTAATGCCTCAGTAATCTGCGTTCGCTCGTAAAATGAACACATAATCGGTGCAATTGAGACAGCAACAGATCACGCAAACTTATATTAATATTCTCCTTTTTTATAAACACTAATATAGTAATTTAAACTCAGCTCCTGAATCAACTTAGAGGAGATTGTATCTGCAGTTTTATCAGATTTTTTTATTACAATTGGATTATATTTAACAAACATAATTTGACATTACTTTGGGCAGTCAAATTCTGACTAACTTTAGGGTAATTTTAAATCAATTTAAATTTTATGACAGTAAAAATTAATTAGGTATTAAGCAATCAATTTTGATATTTACACAACACAAATATTAATTTTTTTGTATAGAAAATTAAATTTCATTTTTATTTTGTTTCAGGTCAATACAAGATGACAAAACTACATCATAGTGATACAAACGGCAATGAATCAAGATATCTGTTTTAAAACAATAATGACATTAAAAAAGAAAATGTTGCTTCTAAGATTAGAATTAACTTGACAAGTGATAATCAGTGCCTAACTGTGATAGTTGAATGCAATGTAAATTTTTAAACTATACACAGATATATTATTATAGTGGGACTAGATAATGTTATATAATTAGGACTTTGAATGATGCCTGATCGGGAGACGGTAGGGGGTCCTGGCACTGGCAGCGGTGGTTTTTTGCCACTACAGTTCCCATCAGCATTCGCAGCTTTCCATGCTTCAACACCACCCGGCGCAGCCACCACAGCAATGCACCACGCAACACATTATCATCATCATGCACAGTGAGTACTACTTTCAATTCTCATATAACTATCTTCTTCTACCTGGCAATTTCCCAGCTTTAGCCAGGGTCTGCCTTGCATTTTGTAAATAGTTTTGGCTAATCGTTTTTATGACCGGCCGCCGTCTGGACATCAATCCTTTTTGGGAATGCATTAATCAGTGATGTCTAAATACTCTTTGAAAGTAAATATGACTCGAAAAAATCACATTGGTACTTGAAAGGATCGAACCCGCGTTCTCATGCATGAGAGGCGTGCTTTTAACCATTAGGCCACCACTGACTGACTGACTCTCATATAACTATATCTGCTTTATTCTAAAGACAAGCTTTCTTCTTCTTTTAATATTACGACTATTTCTTGCAGCAGCTCGTTTGAAACACCAGGTTCATTTATTGGACTAGTCCATAAAATAGAGTGGTTCATTAAGCATTTGTATCTGTAAGTAGTTAAAGTCCTTTTTATTGCATAACGGCTGCCATGTGCAAAACCTATTTAATTTTCAACTTTGCATTATAGTTTAATTGCTTTCGTCTTTTTGCAATTATTTTAATATATTTTTATTTCGATATCCACTTAGTAAAGAATATCCTAACGACTGGTTATACGGTTTTAGGAAGTCGTATAAAAAGTTTGAAGGTTCCACAAATTTCGGATATAATGTAAGATGTGCGTGATAATTTCGAGTTAAACTTCGGGTGCAGGTAGAAGTTTCAAGATTAGATTGAAGTCGCCATAAACTTTGGTTTACGGTCAGATCGTAAACATTAAAGTGAGACAAGGTGTTACTTAATAGTTATTTATTGCAAGAACGGACGTGCGAGTCTAAATGTCATCACATTAATCTCCTCTAACCGGACATAATGGCACAATAAAAAAAAGATCGAAGCCAAATCAATGAGCCTCTAACAAATGACGAACAGGAAGTCATCAAAGGAATTGAGACGTTTACAATATTAGGGCGGACAATAATAAAAGCTGGACTGATTTCAACAAATGAGTTACTAGCTGCACTCAAAGGATGCGTGATGTATGAAGAGGCCAGACTGTCTCGGCCCACTGAAATGATTAATGTACGAAACGCATACATTAACACAGAAATATATATACGGAATATTCATTCATTTAAAACCGCGTAGTATTTCATTCGTATATATTATTTCATAATATGTATTACGATACTTTCAACTTACTTGTTATTAAATGTGATCCTTAAAATTTCTACACCTATCAAGGTTGGGATTATATCTGAAATGGAGTGATTATTGAAATTTCGTGTATCACAGAATTTATATGGGCTTTGATTAATGATAATGCTCCTTCAAACAAGCGATGGCCCTACGGTATAGGGAAGTTTCGCCGCCGGAAGCGAAGCCGAGTATTCCCATTAACGACTCCACAGTGCCTCATTTAACCCGCTGCTGCGATAATTGCCACCACGTGTTTATTTCGAAGCGTTCTAATTATATCACACACAATGGGTTGGACACGATCAGTTATTTTTGCTTCGTTTGCTTCGTCAAAAACATTTTGTCCAGCCACAAAAGAGGTGTTGCTTGCCGCTTGTCATTTGATTCATTAAATAGAAAGTTTCTAACTGATGGATAGATGCGTGCCACATTGCTAGTTAATTCTCTTATGTTTTTGGTTTCGCGTCTTCGATTGATCTGTGTTTTGGTATTTTAATGTCCTTTCCAATTGCCAACATAAAAGGAATTCATTCATGGATCTTGGTAGATGCAATCTCATTGATGTTTTGGCATCTTAGTTTCTATTAGAAATGATCTTAGTCTATCAGTTTAAAACATATTAATAGTTTTTAATTTTCGGCCTATATAAAGCACTTAGAATCGAATTTTAATTAACTTTAAATTAAATTACTATATATGTGAATGATTAGATCTATTAAAACTATGTTTATTACCTTTACTGGAAAGCTTTATGTTGGAGAGTAATTACTCGTGAATTATAAGAGCTCATTAAAACGATATCTGAACACTAACTCAGAACTTGATGCGTTAATTCGCAAATGACACGTTATCTGATAATCTATACGATACTGATTGCATTAAATAACATAATAAATCATAATGTTGTGAAAAATGTTTTATATTCTTAAACACCATTCAGAAATCATTGACAATTAGTTTGATAGCATAATAAATACATGTGAAGCACCACACACGTTGCTATGCTTTTGTTTTATCCTGTTTTTATATTACAATGATTTGTAAAGTACAATGAGATCGGGATGCGGGCGGGAGAATAGCTCATTGTACTTTGACATATGTTAGAAAGTTCCATTAAGTGGTTGCTGCTTTGTGTTATGGGAAAGACAATAATCTTATATATGATCCAATTTTTTTATATAAAATTACGTAGAAATTATTTACTAGAGTAAAATTTGTATGGAGGCTTTTATTATGGTTGGCGGATGGAAGATTATTCCCATATGTTTGGCTCAAATTCCATAAAGTTCAGTAATATAGCTCCAGTAACTATTTACGACTATGTCATAAGAATAGTTGTTACCGGATTCCCGTTCACGTTAAAGCTACTCTCATCTTCTTGGAATTTATTTTGAATAGTACAGACTATCAGAAATATAATTAATTCTACTAAGTAAAACTATTATGAATTTTACTATTATATTAATTGACATGATTCATTTCTTTACCATTAATGTTTTCGTAACAAAAAATCCGTTATTCATTCCTAAATATTATTACACGAACGTGTACAAAAACCCAGGTACTTAAACCTAATTCTAGGAACGTTTCTCAATTCCGTGTCCCTCATCCCCAACTTTCCGATCGGTCAATCGTCCCATAAACCAGTTCCGGTCATAAATTGGTCATTCCCTGCATCCTGCACAGTGCAGCTATTGTCATAACCGTTTATAAATAGACGGGCACATGGAAATATATGAGGTTTGACTCAAATTTAAATTATACTGGTCATGTACTGAAAGTTATTATATCATAAAAACGTTTGTAGCCCTAAAAAGATCTTTTCATAGGTAGTAATTGTTGTAGTGTGCTATTTTTCTTTACTTTTTTAATTAAATATCTTTTTATTGTAGTTCGTGCTATTTACTCAAAGTAGACGATATACAGGGTGACTGGTGAATTACTATTGATATTTGAGGACGTGATATTTGACGATCATATATGATAAAATAAAAATTAATATAACATAAATATTAATAAACTTCTAAGTAAAGTTAACCAAAAATTATGTAATTAATTACGCATCGTATGAACACCCTACAGACTAGGTATACACACACACTCACACAGACGCGGCGGCGACGTAGTGTTGTATCAGCACGCCGCCGCACGCGTCCACACTTGGAACACTTGGAACGTGTACACACTTTATTTATTTATACGGAAATTTGGTCAAAAATTAAGTACCTATTTTTTTTACATAATTCGAATGAGAATCATGTACCGAGTATGCTCCTTAAATATTGATAGTAATTCACCAGTCACCCTGTATAACAAATCACTTTTCACTCATCACCGAACGTTGACCTCGTTTTAACTAAATATAAGTACATGTCTTTCTTTCATAATTATCGTCTTTACAATAAATAAATATGTCTGATGAAATTTCAAAGAATTATTAATAAGTATTGAATAATCGAATTAAACTAATAGAAATATTTGAAACTAATTACTAATATATATAAAAAAAAAACAAGGAAAACTCAAAAGCAATACTAAGTACAGCTTTTTGTAACAACCAAGACCCATTATTACATTAATCGATTCGAGACCATAAATCAGAGGTTCATTTTACGTGCAATTGTTCTTTTCCAATACTGTATCGCATTAAAACTGTTGGTAATGAAAAAAATTTACGTACGTTCATCTCGGTTGCGTGTTACAGAAGCTTGAAGCACTTAAATAACGAGTAAAGCCTTTAATCATTATATTTTCTCCTGTTTAATTGTTTCATTATAGATTTTTACTGTCGTCTCCAAATACACATTACTGAGTTAATTTGATGCTCATTTCTTTGAGTAGTGAATTTCTTTTACACATATATCAGTCAAAAACCTCTGTCTAATATATAAATTCATTGAATTATCTTAATAAGTCATCTTCACCATATTAAATGAAGTCGATTCATAATTATTAATAGATAGTTGAAGTTTGTTTGGAGAAATTGTATTAGAAATTGATAAATCAAATAAGCGGGCTGTGGTGCCATTAAAGGGATCTAGAACTTGCACGCACAATTTTAATGAGTACAACTTGCAATTGTTCGCGCACGCAACCTTGCATGAGAGCTTTTACCTTTATTTTTCTTTTATATATAGATTTTCAGTTGATTTTCTGAAAATAATTACATTTTTCTCAACTTCAAACTTACTAATGAGATCTAAGATTTTCGCGAGTACTCATTTAAATGAAACTAATATTTTCAGATTTACTGCGCGATTTTTTGCCCGTAATCACGATTGCTGTAAAGTAGCCGAAACGTCGGGAGTATGTAGTTTATAGTAAAAAATAAAAAATCGCGTAGTAAATCCGAAAATATTAGTTTCATTCAAATATACTATTAATCGTATATACTTGGGTTAAATTTCGTATAGACAGAATTATTTCCCGAGCAATTATATGTTGAAACGTAATATCTTATCAAAGGCGAACCGTTTGGAAACATAACACCTGTTAACATGTTTACAAAGACAACATCTTTAACACTGAATGTATTTACATGGACGGGGAACTGTAATAAACATATGTTTGTCCAAAATACTAAAATAAATCACTGTTTTTATATATACGAATTCTTTTAAATGTAATGTTTTAATTTAATTATAATAAAAGCAAAGCGATAACATCATAAAAAACAAAGTAGGAATTTGGAATACACGAATATTATATAGTTGTTAGATTAATTCGTTTAAAATAAATAATATGAATTAATTTCTTACAGTTTTCCAAACCAAATTAAAAATATATTAAAATATCTAAGACATTCATTAT